ACCTAATATACAACGTATAGGTATAGCAGGATATGTATCACCAAGTTTTAGTGGAAATTATGATGAAGATATCGACTATTTTATTAATGAATTTAAAAGGTATTTAACTGCTTCTGGGAACAATTTGGCAAATAATGCAGATAGGATCAGCGTACTAAGCTTTTTTAAGTCATGCTTAAAAGGTAAAGTGTGTGAATGGCCTGAAAGAAAGATAGTAGGCAAAAATTGGGAATTATCTAATATTATTTTTACTGTAAATCGTACTTTAGTATAATTACAAAGTAATGGACAAGGACGAATCGTAGGACATTTATCACCTAAAGCATCAGCTGAACTTAATGCACAACTTGTGGCAGCAAATGCTAGTGCCGGTGCTTTAGTAATTTCTGGGCATATAATTTTCAATGAAGATTAGACGCCAGCAGAAGATAAACCAACATCTAAAGTTGTATGTGTACCAAATACAAATTTGGCAAATAGAACAGTTGTATTAGCCGACATCATCCTTGAGCAATTAATTAATTACTTTAAAGAAAATTATCCTACAGTTAAATAACAGTATAATCAAGCATTATTTGGTATAATAGTGCAAGGAAGCGATTCTGTGGGTTCTTATTATACCAAATTCAAGAAGATTGCAAGACATGCTAATATGGGAAATGATGAATTTCGCTGTAGATTTCTTGAGGGATTTTCTTCAGAAAATCAAATGGAAGCTTGTCGTATAGGGCTTAATAGACCTATTGATGAAATCTTTTCATCTTTTGTAGAAATTGAGAAATATAAAGCTGAATTACTCTCTGGTGTTAATCCCCTTTTACAATTTCAGCAATACATACAATCTCAATCATATCTATCAGTTGAGATTGAAAAACTAAATTCTCAAATTGCATCTCTACAATCGCCTATAGCTCAAACAAACCAGATGCGCTCTCAGAATATTCAGAAGCCTTTAGAAAAAAGGAGTTAGAGTTTTTATATATGCTTGCAGAACGTTTAGGTGCACCTCTAAGTTTGCTTGAAACATATAATAGTTCAGCTCTCAGTAGTTATATTAATGAGGAATTAGAAAGAAGGTTAGGAATCAACGATGCCTTTTATGTTAAGGCTAAGCTTTTCAAAAACTCACCTTTTTTAGATTCTCAAATTTTTGTAGTCAAGAAATCATCTTAGCGTAAAAGTGGCTGTAAATCTACTTACAAGTCTTCTAAAACAAAGAAAAAGAAATCAAAAATAAGCCTAAGAAGAAAAAATCTAAAAGTGATTGAATCCATATAGCTAAAGTAAATAATCAATCAGATTCAGATTCTTTTGATAATACTTCTTCATCAGAATCTGAGGATAGCTCTTCTAGCTCTGAAAGTTCTTCTTCTAAATCAGAGTTTGAGGTTGAGGCTGATGCTGAAATTAATGTTAATATATCTTGGGTAAAAAAAAGGTGAAGAAAGAGCATAACACTATTATCTTCTCACAGAAGAAGAAATCAAAGACTCATAAGTCTTATAAGATAAAAGATACAGAAATATCTCCTTTAGCATCAGTTCCTATTTCCAAGAAGAAAAGCATAGTTCAAAGACCCTGACACAGGATGAACGATCTCACTTAGAAAAAATTATTGAAAAAATTATTGAGAAAATGCTTAATGAAAAGTTTGGCACTATTACAACCCTTTATCACTCGCAAAATGGTGATTCTAAAATACCGGCTGATTCTGAGAATGATAAGTTCATCAATAGTCCTATGAAGATAGACTTTATTCAAAGAAAAGAACCTGCCACAGATATTGCAACGATAAAATGTAAAATCAAATGCTTAGTAATCCCAGATGATGTAGTTGATCCTGGAGCTAACTTTCTGATCATGTCTCAGAAACTAAAACACAAACTTCAGGAGTACTTTTATTTAGTCTTTAATTAGGATCTGTATGATAACATTATAAAAGACTACACAGAACACATATTATAAAGCCAGTAGATCAAGTTACCCACTCTACTTTTACAAAAAGAACTAAAAATATTGGCAAGCGGGTGTTTGATGATTTTATAAATATATCTAAATAATATTATAATCCTATAGATCAGCCTATTTTAAAAAAACTTCAATTTTCTATAAAATATCATATATATAAAATTGAATTTGGTGATGAAAATAAAGTAATTAAAAAACAAAGATATAAAGCAATGGTAAAAACAATTGATCAAGGACAAATTTCATGAAATGCATATAGAAACTTAACAGCTATTGAAAATGAACTACCGTATAAATGGGCAATTTCTAATCAATGAATACAAATTAATAAAGAAATAGATTATAGAGTTAAAATTAAAATAGTTAATATGCCATCATGTAATACAATAGATTTAATTAAAAATCCTGATATTGTTGATCTGGAAATAGTTGATGAAATAGTTAATTCAATTGGTAAAGATGATTAAAGAAGTATAAAAGATATATAATTCCAAATTTAATAAAAGAACAGATTCTCAATCCTCAACAACTAATTATTAATTTGCGAATTTCTGGAAATGGTAGAAATGTGGGTAGAAAAGTAAACCATGTTATGATTACTTTTGCGATTTTAGATGATATCAATAATATACATAATCCTAATCATCATCATACAATTATATTATATTCTGGATCAGAAGATTATAAATCTTTAGATATTACAACAACTTTATTTCGAAATGAACGTCATGAACTAATAGAAAAAGAATTAATGATTAATGAAATTAATTGGAATTTTAATTTTATTTTAGCTCAGACTGGAAGTTCCTTGCTATTTATTTAGGATTTAATGCGGCAAATAGTTTTTATTTTTGTCCATAGTGTTTAATTTCTAAAAATCAAGTTGCAGATGTTAATCAAGAATGGTTAATATCAAAGCAAATGAATCAATTAAATCAAAATTGTAAAGCATATAATGGACATCATTTGTCACCACTATTTAATATGATCTCACTAGATCATTAGATTCCAGATGAGCTTTATATAATATTACGTGTAACTGATCGACTTTGGAATTTAGTTTACATGAAATCAAAGAAACTGGTTATTTTAATGATGCTGCAAGAGAAATTATAATTGAGGAAATGAATAAAATTAAAGTATAGTTTCAATTTTGGCAAGAAAAAGAATCACAAGCTTGAAATTATATATCATTAATAGGTGAAAACAAATTAAAGGTACTCTGATTTTTTGATCTTAATAAAATATTATTATCATCACGTGCAAAAATAATTAAAAAGTTATGGGATGGATTTTACGATCTATATATGATGATACATAATCCCATTACTGATCCTAAAGAGTTTAAAGAAAATGCAAAGAATTGGTTGGAATTATTTCTTATACCATCTACTGGAACACCAAATAATAATGATTTTGTTTAAGGATTATATCGGTCTAATTATCTTACACTATATATTCATGTTCTTGTATATCACATTCATGAGTTAATGAAAAAGCACAAAGTTAGGGATTAAAATCTTTTTCATGTGCTGCAATTAAAAAAAAAATCATCAACAAATTTCCGAATTCTTTCGCAAAACTTTAAAAAATAAAGGTAGTAGTGTAAATCAAAAATCAGCAATTATTCAACTTCTTGAATTTGAGAATCGAAAACTTTATTATACTATACATGATGTTTCTCAAATTTATTTTAAAATAGAAAAATTCTGAGTTCAAAAAGCTTCAATCTAATTTTATTTTATATTTAATATTTTTAATAAAGCTTAACAGAATCATCTTTAAAAAAAAAAAAAATATTATATTTAATATCATTTAATGAATTTTCTTAACATCATATGTATGTGTTTATTATAAAATATGTATTTGTTTCGTATAAAAATGGAAATAAATAAATTTAGCATTACAAACACTACCACTGGTTTACGTTTCCATTTTACAACTATTTCTTCATATTTGTATTTACTAGGGATTTTCTTAGATCTTAAAGCAACTGAACTAAGTTTTTTAGTAGTTAGTAGCTAATGCTAGAGGATTAATTTCGGGTTTTTAATCTAATACATATAATGATGAAGATGTTTGTTTTAGTAAAGGTTGATTATCTATTAAAATTACAAAGGTTCTCTGATTCTGACCATAGTATTTTATTCCCTAATCTACCCTCCTAAATATTTGTTCTAATTTTTGTTCTCCCTCCTTTCCACGAAACTAACATCTATAGATACCAGTTTTCTTTGAGTAAAAATGTATATGGTTCTTAAAAATTACATGAAATTGACTTTCACTATACACAACAGAACCGTTTTCTTCCTAGTATTTTTAAAACCATTAGGTAATCGATGATGAATAAAGTAAACTAAATCATTTTTAAATAATTCTGTAAGACTCGCTGGTATCGTTGGCAATCCTGTTCGAAGAATGTTGTATTTTTGAATAATAGTATTATAATGTGTTAATCCTGCTTTATTCTTGAATATTTTTGACATACATTACATTTATATTCATTTGTGTTTATAGGTGAAGGCATATTCAGAGGGGAAGGAATTATACTGCTATTTTATATTATAGCTAATCCTTGTAACAAAAGAACTTAAAAAGCTTAAAGAGAGTTAGGAAAAAGCATTATAAATAAAAACAGTACATATTTATAAATAAGCTTATTGAAAATACCTATTAAAACAGTCTCATGGGTTTTTAGGTTGGCTTATGGATTTGACACAAAATTGTTATATGTTTTTAAGGTGAGTTCGTGAATTTGACGCAAGTTATTTATTAGTTTATCCAATAAAAAATGATTGTGTGATAACAATTTCAATATAAATTCTGCAGATCCGCTCATATTTATTTCATCATTAAATGATAAAATTTTAAAAAAAACTGAATTAAAAAATTTATATTTATTAAATAAAGTTTTTATATCACATAATAAAGAAGAAGAACTATATTGGCCAAGTATGAATTATAATTTAAATATAATAGAAATTGGTTAATTAAAATCTTTTTATTCAATTCAATATAATATATCAAAAAAAATGATAAAGGTTTGTAATAATTTAATATAATTAATTTATATTTAAAATAATTATTTATATATTGTTAAAATATTTTAGGAAATTAACTCTAATGGTAGAAAATATGGTCGTCTTAGAACAAAAGATGGTCATTTAATCAGTTCATATTGTATTAAAAGAAAAACTAATATTTCAAGAAATAATTATTGTGTTGCTGTAAGTTATATATCATTAAATGAATTTATTATTTTTTTTTTGTATATAGTTATCTTGATAAAACATATATGCAGGGTTAGGAAGTACAGTGTTAGTACAATGATTAGTACAATTAGTACAATTAGTACAGTTAGTACATTATAATAATTAATATAAAAATTAGTACAAGTACAGTACAAGTACAATAGTAATTTTATCTAGTATATACAAAATTCCCAATCCTGTATATATGCTTGCTTATATACAATAGGCTGAAAATGTTAATGTTAATACATATTATGTTAAAACGTTTCAAGGATTTGGTAGTTATAATTTTATTAAAGTTCAATACATTGATAGATTTGTTGGATTTATGCGAATTAATAATTATTTTGTTATTTTTGATAAAGAAAATCAGATAAATTGTAATTTGTGTAATTGAATAGAATTATCAAAATTATAAAAATTTTTAATAAATATTATTTACAATAAAATATATATATATAGGAGGTTTGCTAGGAAAATAGGGCTCTGAGCATTTTTTTTTAAAATTTTAATTTTTATTGATTTTAATTTTTGATAATGTTAGATTAAAATGCAATAAAAATTAAAATTTTTAAAAAAAAATGCTCAGAGCCCCATTTTCCTAGCAAACCTCCCATATATTATATAAAAACTATAATAATATATTTTATATATAAAGTTGTACAATATTTGTATATCTTAAAAAACTATATAAATACTGTACAATAAAGTTTTTTTAAAAAAAATTCTGTGTTTTCAATATAAATTTTGTATGTTTCAATTTTCAAATTTATTTTTTGTATAATTTTTGTATATTTTGACTTTTAAAAATTTTATGTATGATTATTTTCGTAGGAAAATTTGCAATAA